AGCCCACGTAATTCTTAGCGTACCTGATTTAGACTTTACTAGCCACCCATGTTTGTTGCATCATCTTCCTCGGAAGCTGCATCATTCGTTGACGACTCCAATATCATCACAGGATCATCTTTCAGCTTGATCCCAATATGTCTTACAAACACAAATTTAAATGCTTTCCGGAGTTAAGCGAGATCTTTTTTCATCTAACACTCTTCTACCTGCACTAAAAGCAGACTCGGAAGCAACAGATGAAGCGGGAACTGCAAGTATATATTTTGCAATTCTCGCCAATATAGGAAAACTTTTTTTATGTTCTTGCCACCATGTTATAATTTGAAAGTTGTTGTTGGTCTCATGTTGATATGACAAATAATCATTAATAGCAAGTGTTGAAGAACATGATGATGAGAATGATGTAGATGCTTTGTGTTTTTTTTTCATAACTTTATCAAGAAAACCAAATCTAGAATCGGAAGTGCTAGTAGTAGTTGGTGTTGCTAAATCAAAACCATAAATAGATGCATAATGATCATAAAGGTCTCCCAAAATAGATTTGCATTTGTTAATATATTCACTAACATCATAATCGATACTTAAACTTGTATAATAAAATTCTAAAAGATTTTCCAAACCTTCAGCTTTGACATCGGGTCAAGAATAGCAGCAATTCCATAAATAATTGGAAATTCAGTAAAATAAGTATGCCACTTACGTTTCATGCTATCAAGAACGGGACGAAGTCCATCAATCTTCATATGCTCTTCGATGGTGTGAACAACTTTAACACACTCAATTATGACTAAATGAATGTTAGGCTCATAAATATAAGAGAAAATATGAGTTACATTATCAAAAGCATTTAAACATCACGAACAAAAGAAGCATTAGTCCAATGACTTTCGGTTATTAACTCAGTAGGATCAACACGAGTCTCATTGTAAAGTTGGGTCAAAATGTCATGATACTTTATAGCATCATTCAACAAATTGAAAGTAGAATTCCAACGGGTAGGGGTATCAATAGACCATTGTTTTTTCTGAAGACCTCTCTCTTTACACATAGCTATGTACTTTCTTCTAACTAACTGAGTAATCCTAATCCATTTTATAACTGTTCTAATTGGGTTTAGCAATGGTTGCAGCTCACCGAGACCCTCTTGAACAGACAAATTCAAAATATGAGCACAACATCTAACATGCAAAAGACTACTACCCAGCAACAAATGCAACTCGGAGTCATTTTTCAAATAGTCAATACACTTTGTGTTTGCAGTTGTATTATCAAGAGACAAAGAAAAAACTTTATTATTCAAGTGAAATTCTTTTAAACAATACAAAATACGAACTTTGATGTTAAAACCGGCATGCCTTTCTTCCATAGCTTGAAAACATAGTATACGTTTTTGAATAAATCAATCAAAATCCACCCAATAAGCAGTAATGCAAAGAAAAGGTTCGCCAAAACTAGAAGTCCATGTATCATTTGTAAAACTAACACGACCATCAAAAGTACGAAATAATTCAATAAAATCACTCCTATACTTATAATAAGAAGTTTGTGTATAACGTCTTAGGGTATTTCGGGGGACACGAGTAAATGCAGGTTGTAATGCAACTTTATTAAAATGCTCAACGTTTGCATTTTCACCGTAACTAACAGGGTATTCATTAGCAATAATTAAAGTATTCATTTCATCAATCATTCTATCTTTATTATAAATGAAAGGTGTACCTCCGCCGGGTAAATGGTTCATGTATCCACCCAATTGTGTTTGGACAGGAAACCCACCCCCCGAAGGACAGGGGCCATTTTCGAACAAGTCGTGTTTATTTTGCAAATGTCAACTCAAGGTTCTGGTTCCATCTCCCGTTTTCCTGCTATATGACTTGACATTTGCACCTAGCGCCTTGCAAACTAGGCATGTACACGTGAACCTCTTTGGTTGACCGGGTTGCCATCCCAGGGGTGTGACCTCAACTCGTTCAAAATGTTTCCACACCCAAGAAAATAGTGCTCGACCTCTACTTTCACCGCCATCACCTTTCAAAAATCAAATTATTGAAATTAATTTTTAAATGCTATTCATAAAAATAAGCTTTTAAATTTAAATATTTTAATTATAATTATTTAAACGCATTTTTCATGGTAATTATAAATCATAGAAAATTGGAAACTAAACTAACTTTATAATCATTAATAACAGTTTTTTAAAATATTCATAACAATAAAAATTAAATTAGAAATTACCTTGAGATGAAGGTTGAGATGTTGGTTGTGATGGAGGTGGCATAATTGAACTCGACGATTGGTGAGAGAAATGTTGGTGGAGACGTTTGAATGTTTTGCCCATCTTCTAAACCATAATCTCCATATTCATTGACAAATTGGTTTAAATTTTCCGTATTAATTTCATACGAAAAATTTTCACCACCACTCATTTGGCCACCACTTCGACCACCACTTTGATTCCTTCCCATTCCTCCTCTTGAGCCCTTTTTTTTTTTTTTTTTTTTAGAATCTTAAGAATACTAATAATAATATTAAGGAGATTTTTTTTTAACAAAAATAAAACTCTATATAACACTAAATAACACTTGAGAATTTGAGAACAATTAAGAATTTTTGAGTAAGAGAGAAAGAAAGCTTGAGTTGTGTGGAAATTTGAGTGAAATAGAATTGGTATTTATAGGAAAAAATTGAGGGGATGATCATACACTCAAAAAACTAGTCGGTACAATACAAAAAACTAGCTGTTAGTTTTGAAAAACTAGACGTTAGTTTTGAAAAATGGCTGTTAGGCTAGGCGGGCCGTGCGGGTTGGGTGGATGGGCCATGCGGGTTAGGTGGGTCATGCATGCGGGTGGGTTGATCATGGGTCGTGCGGGTTGGGCGTGCAAGGTGGGTTGGGTTGTGCGAGGTGGGTCGGGTTAGGTGGGTTCACGGGCTAGGTGTGTCGAATTAAATGGGTCAAAACGGGTTGTGCGAGTTGGGTGGAATCAAACAGGTTAAAAAGAGGTGGGTTGAAATGGGTTGTGCCGAAAATTATGGACCCACAACACAACCCGGGTTAAATCCGGGCTGTGCCGGGTTGAAATCGGGTCGGACCCACGTGACCCACCAGCCGTGCGGGTTAGGGTGGGATGGGTCCAACCCGGCCCACTGGCCACCTCTACCCGTGTGTATGAAAATGAAGAAAAAACAATTATTTCCTTTTTTTTAATTAAATAGTTTCTTTTTCAATTAGCATCTTGTGCATAATTAGCAGGTTTACTAACTTAGCTCAATTAATAAGGGCTGATTTGGCATTTTTGAAAATTTGTTACAAAAATATTTTTAAGAAAATTAAAAGAAAAAGAGGCTAAAAATCACAGCGATACCAACAAAAACAAGTGGTTCAACACACTACAGAGTATAACCTACTGTACGAACTGAATTTGAATAAAGTTTTGAGCTTGATTGAATTCTCAAGCTTGAAAATGAACAATTTTGCACTCGACTAATCTACTTTACCACGCTAATTTCGGACATTTTGGACTACAAGTTTTTGATCATTTTCTTATTTTTTTTTTGGGCCATGAGCATGACTTGATTTTCTTTCTATTGTTCTCTTTCAATATTTTACCCTTTTCCATTTGCCTCTCTTAGTTTTTTAAATATTATAATAGTATAATTGACTAATTGTACGATGTCGTGTTATTTATGCATGTCTATGAATTGAACGCTATTTTTTACATCACATAGTGAGTTGCCATATGAGGTAACACCTTTTATATTAATAAGTTTTTAACTCATAAACATTAACCATAACTTTCATGTGTAATGAGGATCATGGAGTGGTTTGTCCCTCCATCTCTCCTAGGAGTGACATGGGTTTGATACTCACTCTACCCCTCCCCCCCCCCCCCAACGGGCTTTGCCAATTTATACATGAAGGAGTTACATGATGAACAGGAAGATCTCGTCACTGGTAATTCGAATTCCGAAAAATGTTCCATTACTGCCAGCTTGCTTAGGAATGGTAAGGTAGGGAAAAAAGGGGTTTGGGTTCTCAAGGAAGATGACAGGTGCTTAGGGATCTCTAGAAAGAATTTCGAGTCCTTTTTTCGACAGAGGAATTCAAACTCTTAGTAAGACTAGGGCTAGGGCGACTCAAGGGACTATTAGGCTCAGTGGGAACGTTGCCAGTCTCACATTAATAGAAGGCATCCATGGTGGTCTTAAGGAAGCCAGGGGGAGAGGTCTTCTCCATATCCAGATCAAAATCTCCAACTTCATGCTGGTCGAAGTCATTAATGGGAAGGCTGCAGAGAGGGTGGAGCACCGAAATGTACTAAAGAAGATTAAAGCTTTTTTTTTTTTTTCCTTATTTTCAGTGTTTGAGTTGTTATCACAGGTTCTTTAAAGGCTAGCCCTTTTTCAGACCGTAGTAAAAAAGAAAATTAAAAAAAAATCATGTTATATGTACCTACGAGTTACTCCGTATTAACATTTTAAGTAAAGGTGGTTATTGATTGGTAAAAAGGCAATAAGCCAAGAAGGTCATCTCATAGTGAGTTGACATAAGACATTTCAATTTTAAAAATATAAATAAATAAATAAAGAATAAAATGAGTTCTTAACATAAATAGATTAGCCTTAACTTCCACATAGACTGAGTATAATCATCAAGCTCAATAAAGAATCAAAAAGTTAAACAAGAAGAGCAAGGTAGCCAAGAGACCATAAAATCCAAAGGCAAAATGCAAGTAGTCAAGCAACCTAACCTAAAGGGCATGTTTTTCTGTTCGGGGGTAATCCACAGCACGTTTTAAATTTTGATTGTTGTTTGATAATTCAAAAAAACTGTGTTTAGACACAACAGAGGAAGGTAGAGTACTAGAGTGTCCGCAGTTCTTCCACACATCCTTAGGAGGGAGTTCCTTTAGGCAAGGAGGTCACAGCCTCAGAGGGGTGTGCTATGACTGCTATCTACCTGAGCAATTCCATTCTAAGAATAATATGAGAGGGGAGAAAACAAAATTTACAGGTCAAGCTTAATTTAAGTCACAGTACTGAAAATCTGTGGTTGCATTTCAAATGATGATCCTCGTAGATAGAGATTGAGCAATAAGAGAACAATAATACAGGTCCCATTTACGCATTATACAATCTATCAAAATTTCAATTATTTTTAAGGAAAAAACACTGGTTAAGTTAGCTTTTACTCTTTAGTCTTTACACAGTTAATGATGCACCATTGTCAGCAGATGTCAGATTAAGTATCATGGTTGCTGCCCTCGGAGCCCTGCAAGAAAAAATGAATAAAGTTAATCTTATGATAAGTGCATAACAAATCACATCTACAGGTATGATCATTCCTATGGCAGGATACATGTCAAATAGCTTAAAAAATTTGTGCCCAACATCCAACAATAATCATAGCTTCAACAATTTCATGTCCAACAACCAACTCTGTTAGCTTGTCAAATAAAACTGAAAGTAACGGATGAAGCATTGCTTCCTGTCAGTTAAAAATCAACAAACCAAGTCATACAAGTATTTTTTCAGACAACAATACATGTATGCAGCAGAATATTGCAACAAGGACATATATCTAACATTTAACCTGAAACTTTTCTCAAGCATAACATAGACTCATAGAGAGAACAATGAAATCATGAAGTGGACTGGTATCATGGGATGGTTTGAAACAACCAAAGCACCATTTTCTCTGACACGTGACACCCGTCAATGCTCTCATCCTTACTGATCCCCATCAAATTAAATCTTCCCTTCACTCTCTCACCCCTGCCTCTGTAACATGTATGTACACTATACTGTTATTTCTAGTGAAGTGCCATGTATTGGTAAAGTCCACCTTCTTAGTAGATAACACATTGTTATATGAGGGTTTAAGCTATCCCTTGCTGATCAAATGAGATTTGTTGGTTAGAAATTTAATTCCAGTGGCTTGTTTGGTTGCTCTTCGATTCTCTGCTGCTGAGATTGGTGCTGCTAAATTTATTCTAGAAATTCAGAGACCTAGCAACAGCTGCCAGGATTAGTGGGAATTATAGATAAATGTATGGAAGAGCAGGTCTTGACAGATTAAAGAAGGCCCAGGCCTTGGAGCCCTTTGCTGTCACTTCTGCTACCCATTCTTATCCCCGGCTGCCTACCCAACATGGACAGGTGCAGTCACAGGAACCAGCTTCGGATGCAGCTGTCTCTGTGCCCTCCTCGACAACTCCCAATGTTACCCATTCATCTCTTAACCAATAGTGTTCCTAGCATGCACAGGCTACCCATTCCCCTCTTAGCCAAAAGTGTTCCTAGTATGTTCTTATGGCTTGTCTTTTGTGAGTTTAGATCTTGTAGTGGAGTGAAAACATATGTGAGATGTCAGATAATCAAAATGTTCAAGTTCTATATTCGGATTGTTTAGCAGTTGTAACACTTATTTAGGGACATATTTCTTTGTGAAAATAAACATATGCTACACAACTATTAGCTAAACTGATTGTAAGAGCTTATTTGTCTAGCTTATCAATTGTTAATTGATAGTTGGTTTGGAAAAGTTATCTATTACTCCCCCATCCCATTAAACTTTTCACGAAGTCACAAACTTCAAGATACGTCTTAAAAATTTAATTTTCTACAATTTATAAAAACATGATATTATTAAAGTAGACACTGTAACAAATCTAGATGAAGTAACCAGACTAATTCAAGATGAGATTCCATGGTGAATGCTATTTGCAGATGTCTTTTTGCTGGATGAAACTAAAGATGGGGTTGATGCCAAATTGGAGTAATGGAGGCAAAGGTTGGAATCTAGAGGGTTTAAGCTAAGTCGGAGTAAAACTGAATATTTGGTATGCAGCTTTGGTACTAAGAGGGGGACAAGCGATGATGTGGTGAGTTTGGATGGAAAGGACTTGACCATGAGTGAATGTTTTAAATATCTGGGGTCGATCATCCATAAAAATGGTGACAGTAATCAAGACATGGCCCATAGGATTAAGTCGAGGTAGCTTAAATGGAGAGTGGCTACGGGAGTGTTAGGTACAGAATATTGAGCTTCTAAAAAGGAGCACATTAAAAAGATGGAGGTTACAGAAATATGCATGTAAAGGTGGATGTGCAGGAACACTCTAAGAGATAGAATTAGAAATGAGGTTATTCGCAAGAAAGTAGGTGTGACAGACATTGCACACAAACTAGGGGAAAATCGGTTGTGTTGGTTTGGGCATGTAAGACGGAGACCCGAGGGTAAGCCGGTACGAAGAGTGGAAGAGTGGGACCATAGAGGGGTTAACGAGGGAGAGGGAGACCGAAAATGACTTGGTTGAAAGGAGTTAGGAAGGATATGAAGTCTATGGATTTGCATAAGGCTGAGGCATTGAAACGTTAGGGTTGGAGGAGGAAATTTTTTGTCAATGACTACATAGAATAATCACTTTTGGTTCATATAGCCGACCCCACTTATGGGATTAAGGCGTTGATTGATTGATTGACAATGTAACGAATCTTACAAGATCTCACTTGACTATATTATTGCTTATGGATTAGTGAGAATTTGTGGTAAATTTTATTAAAGTTTCACCCCACAAATTCGAGGGGGCAAAAAAATAAGGATGGAGGGAGTACTCTCTTTTCCGAACTCTATATCTAACAAGGATAATCCAAGAGGGAGACTACTCATGTGGTCGTGTGGGTACTTTTGCTTTTAGAGAGGAAGAGAGAGAAAAGAGTTAAAAATAAATAAATAAATAACTATTACCAGAAGGTCTAACACAGTTGGGTCGAAGATGATAAATTGTGAATAAAAGGTTGACATAAATTAAATAATCTCAATAAAGTAAGTGATTAAATTATAGAAAAAACGAATAAAACCGAAAGTGAGTAATACTTAGGGAAACAAAAGTAGTACTTTTTAAGGCAATTGTATTAAGAAAGTGTAAGAAATTGGATAGTTGATGCGTATTTGAGATAATGACTATACATGGGGTAGCCAACAAGTATATTCCCCAAACCTGTTATTGGAATACAAAAAGCCTAAACACCACAAAAGCCACCAAGAAGTTTCTCAGCCAGCTATAGGGATGGCCTGATGATATACTGGTTTCAGCATTTGAAACATAATATAAGCCAATAAGAAACAGATGCAATCAAATATATAGAAAATGTGAAGAAAAAAAAGGTTCTTTGATAAGCATGGTACATAAGATATATCTGAATAAAAAGCATTACTAACTCATAACTTGTATAGAGAAAAGGAAAATTCATATATTACCACTGATCAGGCTTTGGATAGACATGAGCTGTACTTCCAAAGCAGGACTCGAGCATCTCAGTATGTATCACTCCAGGACTAAGAGCAACAATTGCCATACCACCACTCAGCTCCTTTGCAACTGCTCTAGTCAAACCCTCAACTGCCCATTTTGAAGCACAGTAAGGAGCAACCTAGCAGAAGAGAAACAATTTCAGAGTTATGTTTGCTAGACAAAATAGAGTGTCAACATTAAACAGGAAGAACCAACTAGCCTCCAGAACCAAGAATTCTTCAGTATTCACTAATCAATATAGATGGTAAGACATTTGAGCTTTAAGTATAATATATATTATGGTCTCTCAAAATATAAAATTCCCTCCAACGTTTGTCAAGTAGCTACCCCATCCCCAACAAGAACAACAACAGCAAAAAAAAAAGGAAGAAGAAAAAGAAGAGAGAGAGAAAGTCAACTCTCAATAATGCCCAGACAAAAGTGGTATACCATTTAGATATAAAGTAAGCTTTGCTTATATCCCAAAAAGAATTAAGATATAAAAACATCATTTTTATTTTTAAAATTGCAAATGAGAATTATGTACTTAGACGATGAAAATATGATCTCCAATGAACTCAACTACAACACCAACTTCCGTGAAGTGTAAAACCATTCCACACACTAATCCAGAATCTTCTTAAGTGCTCTCTTTTTCAATAATCTCCAATGACAACTAAATCAATAGTTTTATAAGAAAAACATCAATAGCTTAACAGATAAACAAAATTACAAAACACATCGATCAAAAAATCATCATCTTTGCCAAGATCACAATGTATATTTCTCACTTCCATAAAATTTACAATATTTAGACTTTTACACTATCCTCACTCCCATTTGACCATCTATTATGTGGGATCTTGTTTGATCCGTCAGAATTACTTACTTCCAAAATGTCATTTTTATATTTTTTACTTGAACATATCACATTCAGTTGAGAGGGACACAATTTCTTTTCCAAGGAAACTTTTCCTAGGATTAAACAACTTATCAAGGCAAGCAAATTTAGTAATCAACTAAGTTAAATTTGACAAAACATCTGTACGATAATATATTGTTTCTTGGTTTCTTTGTCATCCTGGTTTTTCTGTAATTATGATTTGGTTTGGCATTTATAACATATCCCATACAGCTTCAAACCAGGGAATAATGTAACAAATTCTTATTAGGTAATCAATACAAATCAACCTATCACGTAGGAAAACCTAATTGAATAATATCTAGCAACCCTAATCAATGACTTATTCACATTGTTATTGTTTATTTCTTCGTTAAGCTTTGTATAGTTGCAACATGCAAGTAGACAATTACCCATCACAAATATCCTCTCCCCTTTTTCTGAGGCCCACTCATCAAACATTTTCAATACAATTATACATACTTTTTAGAAATTCAAAAAAATTCCCACTAAACCAATAGCCATTCCAAAACAGCAAAATCATGATCAACTTCACGCAAGGTGCTAAGATTTTTTTGTTGATGACACCTAAAACATAGTTCCATGATATTTTCCTAAAGTTTAAGACATTTTTCATCATTTTTGTTCATATATAACCTCCCAGATCTTGACAGTGTCTCGTATATCAACCATGTTCCCATAAAATGATTCCTTGACACTTCAAAAGATTCTACCATTACCCATCACAGATATCCCCTCCCTTTTAGGCACCCATAAATATGTTGCAATACAATTACACATATACAAATACATGGAAAATCATTACTTTGCCCACCAAAACCTATGTCAACAGCTTCCCAGTGACTAATCAATTTCCCGATATTGATACAACAGCCTTTTCAAAAGAGCAAATCCATGATCAACTTCAGGCAAAGTGCTAAGATTGTTTTGTTGATAGCATCAACAACATAGTTCCGCGCAACCTCCTGGAGTTCAAGACATTTGTCTCTCTTTTTTTTTTTTTTTTTTTTTTTTTTTTGAGGAAACTTCTGTCTTCATTTTGAATTCATATATAAGTATCTCGCATATCAACCGTGTCCCCATAAATGTTGACTCTTCAAAGATTCTAAGCTGAGAAACGAATACTTTTTTGATATTATACCTAGGAACTTGTATTTTAAAATCTGCTTGTTGGCATGACAAACCTTCAAAAAGTTCAACAATGTCATAAAATCTCATTCTTTTCTATCTTTCAAGTGCAGTAATAAATAGTTTCACCGACATTGCATCAGTAAAACTCTATCTTTACCCCTCTGTCCTTGCAAATAGCGACTCAAGTCAGTTCTCCGCATAACTCTTTGGCAACTTCTTTATTTGCATTTTACCCTAAAAAGTCAAAACTTTCTCTTCATACTAACTATAAGCTATTGATGTAGTCACAATGATGATGATTCAAATTGTAATTTTCTATCTCCTTACTTTCAGAATTTGTTATTCAGAATTTTCCTTAAATCAGTCAAGTACTCTCAAGTCCACCACTAGAAACATACAGCAGCATTCAAGAAAAATGATATTGCAAGTATGCCTATAAGAAAAATATAACAACAAAACACTTTACCTGAGCAGCAGCAGATCGCCCCCATCCAGATGACAGATTGACAATGATACCATGCTTCCTCTCGATCATAAGAGGGATGAAGTGACGAAGCACGTTAGCAACCCCCTTCACATTAGTATCAATCACAGTGTCAAACTCTTCTGCTGGAACCTCCCACAGGGTGTTGTTTTTATTAATGGTGCCAGCATTATTTACTGCAAGAATTTTATAATATGATTAACTGAAAATAGATGCAAGCATGACAAAAATAAAAAAAAAAATGATACAAACCAAAAAATATTGGTAAAAAGAAACTTTCTTCTCACACTAATTGCAAATATTATTCTCAAGAAGATACACGAACCATAGTTGCTTAAAGAAAATCAACTTCAGACTTTGTGTTTTTAGCTTTTATAAGGTGATTATTACATTCAAAAATCTTCCCAGTTCCTCTATAGAAGAGTTCTTTAGCAATAATTTCTTTTTTTACATCATACCCAAACTTAGCACGCCATTAAGTACCAATGAGAACCATTAACCAAATTCTCTAGGTAAAAAGGCTAGGATCATATTGGCTCTGTATCTGCATATTGTCACTCATAATAAAACTTACAAAAATTATGTTGCCTACCAATATATGACAAACTATGGGCTCTTAGTAACATTTTAGTGCATCAAGAGAAGAGACTAATTACATCTTAACTCGTCACTTTTGTACTTCAAAATCTTGATAAGAGTTAGCTGTGTGACACATTTGACAAATATGCAACACCTAAACCCACCATTGTTAAGTTTCCTTAGTAACATCAAGAACATTAACTAAAGCAATAAACACCTTTCCACAATGCAATCCTCTGTGCATAATTAATTGTCACATTGATAATGTAATTATTAACTAGTGATGTGAAAATGATATACCGCGCAGGAACTAATCAACATACTATACCACTAACTCGTTACCTCTCATAAAGGTCGAGTCTATGACATTACAAGTGGTCTCCAAGTCTACACAAATTTACCGATATTCAAGGCAAACTCATGCCATTGTTTGAGACAAGCAATCAAACCCTGAATAGTTTAGATTTAAATGAATATCAAGGACAACACAATTTAATTAGAGAAAAGCAGCTGAACCCTGAATGGCCAAATCCAAAAATTGTTTGAAACAAACTCTTGCCAACTATATGGTCTTTTTTCTTGGAAAAATCCAATACCCTTTACAATTAATCAACCTAATTAAATCCACATTGCCAAAAAAAAAAAAAAAAAAAAAAAAAAAAAAAAAAAAAAAAAAAACAATTGCCCTCCTAATAATCATACAATTTCAAACCATCTACAAAATAATAACAAACAAATATTCAAAAACTAATCAACAAGAAAAAACAACATACCAACAATATCAGGAATCCGTTTCTTCTCAACAAGTAACTTAGCAAGATCCTGCACACTGTTATTCAACCTCTACACCCAAAATTCAACCCATTAATCCAAAATCATCAGTTCATATTCAATATTCAAAATTCAAAAAACCCCACCAAAAAATTCGACAAATTTAATGAATGTTAATCATTGAAATTACCACATCAACATTGAGAAGAAGATGATTGGATTCTTCAGAAGTAGAAGAAGGAGAATTGTGAAGTTCAGCTTGAAGAGAATCAATTCTATCTTGAGAACGACCACACCCAACAACACAATGTCCTCGTTTCGCCATTTCAAGAGCTAAAGCTCTGCCTAAACCTCGGCTTACGCCTGTTATGAGTATTGTTCTTTGTCCACCCGACCCTGCTGCCGCTGTTGCTGCTGCTGCCATGACTGTTGTAATTGATCAAAATCAATGGAAAATTCTATTCTAATAGTCTAGAATTTGAAGAATAGACTTTTGATTTGCTTAATTTTGATTGTAATTTGATGGGTAGAAGAAGCTAAAGAGAGGGAGTTGAGTAATGAAAAAATTGAAAATAAAAGCAACGAGTGGAGGAGCTGAAATGGTGGCCGTGGCCCGTGGGTGTGAGAAATTAGGGGGAAATTGGGTGTTGTTAAACGTTTTTGCAAATTATAACGTGACACTCGCTTTTTTTATTTGTCCATCCTATGTAAATACTCATGAAACTAAGTTATGAAACTTACAAGTCATTTCACTGCTAACAAAATCTCTCTCTAAAATTTTATCTCTCTAAAACACTCCAAAAAAAACCAACGAACACCACCCATTCAAGGTTGAATCCGGCTATGGGGATCGTCGACGCATAAGGCTCACATTCGGTGGTCGTGGGGACGACGTTGGTGGCGACAAGCAGGTATTGTTGTGGTTTTTGTTGTTTTTAATTTGAAAAAAAAACGGTTTCTAGAGACTTCCGCCGGAAAAATCAGGAAGTTTAGTGAAACTTCCCGAAATTTCAGGCGGATCTGGGTACTTCCGCCTGAAATTTTCGGAAGTTCCGCCAAACTTCCGGATTTTTCCGGCGGAAGTCCGATTTTTTCGTATATTTTTTATTTTTTTATTGTTTGTCGTGATTAATATGTGTTTAAATATGTTTTTTTATAAATTTTGGAATTTTTTATCCTCGTGATTATTGTTTGTATTTTTTTTATTAAATAATTTTATTTTTTTATTGTTAATGGTATGTATTATTGTTATGTATTTGTTCGTGATTAAAATTTTATAAAAAAAAATTGATTGAAATAATTATTGTAAGTACTGTTATAAGTATTACTGTTGTTATTATTATTAATATCGTTGTGAGGAATATTATTATTGTTGTTGTTGTTATTAGTATTATTACCATTATTATTAATAATGTTGTTGTTGTTGTTGTTGTTGTAATGTTGCCAATTATGTGGTTTATTATTGTTTTGATTTGGTTTATTATTGTTTTTAATTTAATAGTAGTGTGTTAGTAGTATTTTGTTATTGTTAGTAGTGTGTTGTTATTGTTAGTAATGTTGTTATTGGTTGTTAGTAGTGTGTTGTAATGTTGTTAGTAGTACGTTATCAATTTTGTGGTGTGTAATTTATAATATTATTTTTGTTATTGTTAGTAATGTTGTTATTATTGTTTATTTGATTTGGTTTATTATATTTTTGAATTTGAATATTAATTATTCAACTTTGACATCATAGTTGTCTATGTAATTATTACTGAAATATAATTTTGTACTTATTTAATGCAGATTGAGGGTTCGGGTGCTCGTCATGCAATATCAAGACGTTTGAATGCGTCTATTAGGAGGGAGTTAGGTCGTTCAGGACCTACGGGGGAACCGTTTCATCATGAGCAGCTATGGGTCTGCTGGTACTTGGTCGGGAGACCATCAGTCACATGGGAGTGCCCCTATGTATTTGTCGGGTGGAGTGCCTACATCTGACAATGAGGACGAAGAGCGGGCAAGTCATGCTGATCGAGATGCAGAGTACGACCCTTAGGATTATCGTACTGTGAATAAGGGTCAGCATGGGAGATTTGTTAGTAGTAGTGAACCACTTCAACCTTCTACCAGCTCATCAGAGACATGAGTAGTACAGGAGCCGATGCCAAGTGGGCCTGAGGATGGTACTGTTATTCTTAGTTTTGGGGGTCATGTGGCTGCATATATATGGGGTAGGTAGGAGCGAAATGTTTTGCGGTGTTTGAGCAGGACACAGCTGTGTTCTGAATTGGGTAACTAGCGAGATCGTCTTGCACATGAGCACCTATAACTGATTGATGGCAGTGGTCTGTCTCACTTACCCGGGATCATGTTCAGGCGATTTGTTTAGCCGTTGATCTCTGCTTTTGTTGAGAGATGGCAGCCAGATACGAACACGTTTCATATGCAATTTGGGGAGTTCATGCTGCATGATGTGTATTATATTCTTGGGCTTTGTGTTGATTCAATCGCTGGTTGTCTCACGCTTCTGCAGGCGTGTATCTACGAGTACTTTCCGTGTTTCCGGCCTTAGCAGGGTACCTTGACGAGAGAGCTTAGTGTTCCTCGTGCGTCTGCATGGGATGTAGGATTGGGATGCCCCAACAAGAGCATGGAGCGCCTCCTCACTTTTTGTGCTAGGTTGGATCAGCTGAGTGGCAATCAGGTTAACTGGCTACCGTACGGAGTTGATCCAGCACGACGCGTGCCTGCCACTCTATTCATTGGCTGCATCCAGTACTGTAGCATCATTGAGCCATACATGCTTGATCGAGTGGTTAGACAACTTGGATTCGTCAAAGGCATTCCATGGGCCATCATCAGGCCTGAGAAGGCAAAGAGACCAACGAACTTGAAGATATATCGGGTAGACTTTCCGACAGAGATGACATCTGTGATGTGGACTCGATTTGTCCCTAGTTCTTCTTTTAGTGTCGTTTTAGGTCCCCTCTCCAAACTTAGCGGTGGTGCTCCTACGGTCGCTCCTGGTTACATACAGTGGCTGGTTCTTCTTTTAGTGTCGGTACTTCTGACCAATCTTTGACCTAGACGCCTCCAAACCATTACGAATTGTGATGATCTGATTACCAATGTGGCAATGAACTCGGTCCCATACGGTATCCAAAGAACATGCACATTACAAAAAAACCGTTATGATTTATAATAAAAATAAGGGTTTTTCTACATGGTGACCTCGTTTTTTTTTTTTACTTTTCTACGTTGTGACCAAACACGAACCTGTCGAAGATTCAAATCACATCTTCACGGCCGAATGTTGGCTCTCAACTCTGCAAGTGCTGGTGTTGCCAAAATGTAGAACATGGTTTGTCCAAAATGTCACAAACTTGGTTTTATGACAAAGCCATGTTCTCTCAACATATTGTATCACCGCTGGATAACTTTCCCACCGATCATTCATTGTATCTACAGCAGCATTATGATCCTCCTCGGTTGCAGCGTCCATGATACGTTTCAATTTCCCGTTTTTGAAACTCGTATCGATCTTCTTGTTTTTAAACATATCAATAACCCGAGCCTCCACATCTTTGTTAATGTATCATCGACAAAGTAAGTGAAGGGTCCCTGGAAACACTTCTCTCAATGCCGCACAAAGCCCAAGCTCAAGTCCGTAAAAAAAACCGACGGTTCCTTATCATACCCAATCAAGTCTCTCAGTCTCTACAAATCCCATCGATAGCTTTCCGTGCACTCGTTGCGCATGAACACGTAACCGACGAGGAAATTCTGATTTGTCGGTGTCACACCAACTATCTCAAAGAACGTCATCCCGTATCGATTGGTCTTGTAAGTGGAATCCATACCGATCACATATGGGTACGTCCGTAGTATGTCTACCGTGATTGGGTGCACCATAAAGGCGTGCTTTAAAATGCCTAGATCATCAGACATGACCCACTAAATATACAGACTTTGTCTCGCCAAATGTAGAAATTGTTGAACAACTCCTCTCCCATTAGACATCTCTGTTCTCAAGTCATTCTCGCAGTTGTAGATGTGTTTGATGTTTGGATGATCATCAAGATATTGCTCGGCAATAGTCGTCATGATGTTACGTCGTGCAACCTTGGACTTCGTCATGTCACGCACAACCCTCTTCGCATCCGGGCTCAACCCACTAATTTTACGATGCTCCTCCTAATACACAATCATTGGATGGTTATGGGTGCCAGTTGCATCATTTTTTGTCCGAATCTTCCAACTATCGGTGATGGAACTCGTAATATATCTTGATGTAGAAAGGACAACCATTGGCTTTGGATTTTGTGTCCTTCCGAATTGCGTTCTTAAGATCTCTCGGCTTCTTCCTATGTCCCCGATCACATCTCAAATATCGATAGCGGTCGACCATCTCTGGTTTTGTTGTAAGACGATTTAACCAAAATAAATCCCAAATTTATGGCAACAACATCCGCCCATTTAACTGGATCATCAAACGTTGGAAAACGTGTATGTGACAAAATTCGCACTATAATTCACAACATCACCGCCTTCTTCAAACTCCGAATCCTATAAAAATACAAGAAAACGCAAGCAACACGCTAATATTAGTATTTTAATTATAATATTAATAACAATATTTTTAAAACAACAACAACACCAACAACGACAACGACAACGACGACAACGACAACGACAACGACGACAACAACAACAACAACAATAAAAACAACAACAATAACAACAACAACAACAACAATAACAACAACAACAACAACAACAACAACAACAATAATAATAATAATAATAATAACAATATATTTTCTTGCGTCGCGTTTGCAGTCTTTTAGTCTAGAGGCTACGCTTCTTCACAATTTTGGTATTGATGGTCCAGGACCAGCCTTTGATGGCGCTCTTAGTCTTTTTAATAGGACAGTCGAGGCTGACCTTATGCGTAACCCTAGTGAGATCGCTGCCCTCAAACTCATGAAGAAATTGGCAAATATATATTTCACGAAGATCACTGCAGCTGTAGTATCCACTTTCACCTTATCTCCGCGTCAAGTTGCCTTATGGAAAACCCAGCAAGGGGATCACACTTTTGCCTGGTTGCGAGCGGTCCCAATATCAGGTTTGGGTCAGACTATGAATGGTAGGACTTACCGTTGTGTTCTTTGCTACAGGTTGAGTGTTCCCTTGTTCTCTATTTTAGCACCGTGTTCTGCTTGCTCAAGGGTTTTTCTTGGGGATATTTATGGGGATCATGTAGTGTCTTGTGTTGGGGTGGTGGGTATTAATCATCGGCACAATGTTGTTCGTGAAACCCTTGTTGATATTTGTTTTCGCTCTGGGATTTCTGCAAGAAAGGAGGTTAACGTTGGATTGACTAGAGGGAACGACGGGGTTGTTCGACCAACAGATGTGTTGCTCTATTCCTGGGATAGAGGCCTTGATGTATGTGTTGACTTGACGGGGTCTTCTCCTTTGACGCAATCTGGGCTGTCTGACTTTGTTCCTGGTCGTGTTGTGTCGGTTGCGGCTCAGCGGAAGCGAGATAAGTATGGGGCGCGTTGCAGGGCTATTGGCTATGGCTTTCTTCCTTTCTCCTTTTCTTATTTGGGGGAATTAGAGAACGATAGTGTTGCGCTGCTGAAGCGGGTTCAGGCGTTCGCAAAGACTCAAGATATAGGTGCTCGTGCT